CCCTGCCCCGGGGAACCCTGACCCGAAACGGGCCTCCAGTCCCTGCCTAGACTGGACAGGGTCCCATGCTTCTTTGCCATATTCATTTTTATGCAGTCTCCACAACCACCATGTCAGGAGGGATCCTTGTTAGCTTCTGCCACGGACTGAACTGTGTCCCCCCAAAATCCGTCTGGTGGAACCCCAACCCCCAATGTCACTCTTTGGAGACTGGGACTTTAGGGACATAATTAAGGTTAAATGGGGTCATAGGGGTGGGATCCTAACCCTATAGGACGCGAGTCCTTTTAAAAGACGAAGAGACAGCGGAGCTCCCCCTGCAGGCCCTGTGGGTGCACAGAGGACAGGTGAGGGAGGACCCTGGAAAGAAGGCATCCCCCGCTGCCCAGGAGGGAGGTCTGTCTCTCCAGGGATCCAGCCCCACGGGCACCCCGATCTTGGACGACCAGCTTCAAGAACTGCAGGAGACAAACGTCCGCCACGTAAGCCGCCGGGTCCGTGGTGCGTTGTCGCGCCCCCCCCCCCCCCCGGCGTGGATTTTTCCAGTTTCCTTTCACAGTCCGGGAGGGCGGAATGGCTCGCCCGAGTCACCCAAACAAGAAGTGACAGAGTGAGGGCTTGAATTAGGACGGGGGTCCCCCTGGCCGTGCTGGCTTCTGCCGATCCGGTCCTGGAGCCCAGACCGGACTGGAGCCAGGGGCGAACGCAGGACGCAGGGAAGGGGAGGGCGGGGGCGGGGCTCCCTCCTGGCTCTGCGGAGCAGCACTGCCACCTGCTGGCCACAGCCGCAACCACACCAGCCACCAAAGGCACCCTTTCCGTCCTGTTTTGGCTTGTTTCTTTTTATTGCGGTAAGCACACCTCGCCCGAGATCTACGACTTCAGAAAATTTCAAGTACACGATACAGTGGTGTTAATTGTGAGCACCGGGTTGTACAGCAGACGTCTAGAACTTACTCCTCTTGTGTCACTGGAATTTTCTTTACTGCTCCCATCCCCTCTCCCTCCTAATTCCACGCCCCCCATTGTCTCCTGCTGGCAGGTAGCTAATATGCCGGGACCCTGGCCACCAGAGGAAAAAAAGAGGTCCACACGGAGGCACGTCCTCTTGGGTCTGGGGAGAAAACGGACGGCAAGCAGAAAACGGTGACTGACCCCAAGGAGTGGAGGACTGGAGTGGGAGCATCTGAGACCTCCCTGCGCGACCCGGGGCGATGAGGTGGGCAGGTGCGCGTGGACAGCCCGCAGGAAGAGCTGTCTGGCAGTGAGGATAGTCTCCGCTGGCTGGGTTCCTTTAGGCACCCTCATGTAGCCACCTGTGCGGGAAGTAATCCCACCCCTATTTGACACACGAGGAAACTGAGGCTCAGAGAGTATTCTCAACCCACAGGCTAGTGTGGGCGAATGATACGTGACTGCATCTCACAGTGTGGGTGTCGTTCGAGGGCGTCTGGAAGATCTGACCCACCTGGCAAAGAGTACCAGTATTAAAATCAGTGCTTAGGAGGGGTCCCGCTTTCCCTTCCCCACGGAACTCCGGCCCGAGCACCCCTCTGTGAGGCCCCCTCGTTTGTATGATAAGAGGGACGCGTGCAGCCTGAGTGACCGAGGCTCCAGGCGGGAGAAGCCGATGGGTGAGCGTGGGCTGAAGAAGGCTCTGGAGAGCGGGAGGGTGGGCCGGGGGGTGAGGGAGCCGCACAGCAGGGAGAAAGCGCGGTGACTCACACGCTGTGCACCTGCCGGGAGAGGCTTCATCTGTCAAGTGGGGATAACACAATCCACCTATTTCACGGGCCTCTTCTGAAAATCCAGTAAAGGAGCAGGTGAAACCGCAAGCCCCGTGTCAATTCTCGGCTAAGTGTTGAGTCGGAAACCTGGCAAAGCAGAGCCGATTCCTCGCCCCTCCCCACCCGCGTCTGTTAACTTTGGTTCGCTGTCCCTCGCCAGGAAGCACAGCCCCTGATAACTGAAGGCGGGGCCCTGCCCCAGCCCATTCCGGAGGCCGCGAGCCGAGCCGTCTGGCCCCTCCGTCTTGGCTGCCGTGACCTTCCCTCTGCCTCATTCCCGGAGCGCGTCAGCCTCCGCGCAAGCTGGGTCTTACCCACCAGACTGAGCTGGTCCTCAGGACTGGTCCCAGGAGCCACCCGCTCTCAGCTGGGGGCAGGTGATTTTGGTCATTTCGTTTCCTGGGAAGGACAGCACATCTCTCCGGACTTGCCACATGAGGAGAGACCCTGAATTTGGAGTCGGGAAATCTGGGTTGTGGTCCAGGCTTGTCCACTCCCCGCCTTATCCTGGGCAAGCCCCTTTCTTACTGGAGTCTTAGTACTTCCAACAAGGAGCTGAGGGTATCTCTAAGGGGGGTGACCAACCACTCTCGTTTACCCAACGCCAAAGAGTTGCAGGGTGTGGGATTCTCTGTGCCCAAACCGCAAAAGTCCTTGGGGCGCGTGGGTGGCTCAATCAGTTAAGCATCCCACGTCAGCTCATGAGCTCAAAGTTCATGAGTTCAAGTTCACGAGTGCTGTGCTGACAGCTCAGAGCCAGGAGCCTGCTTCACATTCTGTGTCTCCCTCTCTCTCCGCCCCTTCCCCACTCATTCTCTGTCTCTGTCTCTCAAAAATAAACGTTAAAAATTTTTTTTAAGCTGGGAAAGTCCTGGGCAAAGTCTTGACAGCCAGCCACCCCCTCCCTAAGCCTCCACGTCTCTCATACTCCATGATCTCCATACACCAGCCTCCCTGATCTTACGTGTGGACAATACTTTGGTTCACTAGAAATAGAAAACCCAACGAACACTGGCTTTGACGTAAGAGCGTTTACTGTTTGCACAGAAGCGTCCTGGACACAGGCAGTGTCCGTGCTGGGATGTCGTCCCCGTGGCATCATCCAGGACCCGGGCCCCTTTGTCACCCGTGGCCTCTTGGCTTTTCTTCCTCAAGTCAGGAAGGAGGGGAAAGAGGAGAGGCACCGACGGCTCCTGTTACTTTTGGGGGAAAGTGGGAGGTGTTCCAGGAACCCCCGGCACACGTCTGGTTGGATTTCAGCGTCCCGAACGCAGTCCTGTGACCACTCGTAGCTGCGAGGGAAGCCTTGAAGACGAGGAAGGAGAGGCTGGGGAGAGGAGCCACCGGAGAGCGGCAGAGCCCAGGGCAGCCCCACGCCGGTGGCCCTGACCCTCTCGACAACAGAACTCGACAAAGTCCCCAGACTTTGTGCGACCCCCAGCACGCTGGAGACACTCAGCACTTGCTCAGCCCTTGGCGGATTCGTCGCCCTTTTCTGACTTCTGAAGACCTCAGCTCTCTGTGCCAGACGGCCGCGTCCTCAGCCCCCCTGCAGAACCGTGCTCCTACGTCCTGGTCCACACGTGTGGAAGGACTGTTACGCGACACATTTACTCGGCTGCCCCGGCTTCCTGGTGTTCGCACCGGGGGAGAAATGGGTCTGTCGGCATCCGGGTCCCCCATTCTCCGAGACCGTTTGACTTAATTCTCTATGTCTCTCAGTGGCAGACTGGGACCTGGAGGGATGAGACGGCGGGTCCAAACCGCCCACGACAGTCAGAAAGCGTCTTTACTCCACCCAGGAAGTGGGTGTGGCAGGTGGACACTGCTTCCAGGTGGGGGCGCGGGTTTAGGCAACGAGATCTGGACACTTTTAGGTCGGATTCCACCCCTGCTGGCGGGTCCGGGGACACGGCCTCACTCGCGGTGAGGCTTGGGGCGGCCGTGGAGAAAGCCAGCTTTCCTCTGGGATCCGCAGCCGCTGGAGTCTCAGTTTTACCAGCAGGTTCTCCAGCTCGAGGGCCTCGGGCAAGCCGTGTAACCCAAGTGTCTGCTTCCTCTCCTGCAAAGCGGGGGTGACAAGAGTCCTCATCTCGTGCCGCCGCGAGGAGTAAGCGAGGGGCCCTGCGTGCAGCGTTTGAGCCCACGGTAAACGCACCGCACACAGTGGGCATTGAACGCCGGGCCGTCGCGATATTCCTGCCGCCGCGGTGGCCCGACCGTGGCGTAAGACGTGGGAGGCTCAGCGTGGTCACTTCCCCACATCTTCCTCACCCTCGCCCCAGGGGAGCTCTGCAGCCGCAGAGAGTCACTGCTGTCTGCGATTTGGGGTTTGCACTGCCCCTCCGTCTCTTCTGACACCGTCCTCCGCTTGCTTGCGAGAGCCCTCCCCGGCCTTCTGGAATCTTCCACTTGGCTCAAACGAGCAGCTTGCTGGGCTCAGGAGGCTGGCCTGCCCGAGGGTCCCGGCACTTTTCTCTTGAACCAGGGATGCCTCGTTACTCCCTGGGGGGGGGGGGGCTGCCTGGGGATGAGCTGCGCTGGGAAGAGCACCGAGCACTGCCTCCCGCGCTGTGCTTCTCTGCTGTCCTAGGGTTGAATAGCCAGGAACTGGGTGAGCCGGCGGTCAAACTGCTGGTCGTTTGAAATCAGCTGTGGCTGGAGTGTTGGCACCATGGAAATTGGCAAACTCCACTCAGAGCATCATTCTCTCCCTCAGACACTGACTTCCCAGTGCATCACCCAACAAACCCTTCTCCTGAAGCTCTCTAGCTGGAGGTTGGGGGGCAGGGGCAGCTATAGGATTCTGAGCTAGAAGTTTTGGTTCACGTGTCTGTGTTTTTAGAAAATTAATTCTCCAGGGGCACCTGGGTGGCTCAGTGGGTTGGGCATCCGACTTCGGCTCAGGTGACGATCTCGCGGTCCGTGAGTTCGAGCCCCACGTCGGGCTCTGTGCCGACAGCTCGGAGCCTGGAGCCTGCTTCGGATTCTGTGTCTCCCTCTCCCTCTGCCCTTCCCCTGCTCATGCTCTGTCTCTCTCTGTCTCGCAAAAATAAAAAAAAAACGTTTAAAAAATTAAAAAAAAAAAAAAAGAAAATTAATTCTCCAAATTAGAAAGTCGTACCAGGCTGTTGCGAGGCATTCGAATAACTTGAGATGAGTGAAAACTGGAAGGTCCAGATCTCGCTCCGTTTACCCTCCGGCGGCAGAGATATGCACTCTCCCTCCACATCTCCAGAACTCTCTTGTGCCCAGGTCACGGTCTGCCGCCTCCCTGACCTGCCCCTGACGATGGCCTCGGGCAGACACGAGAGCTTTCCGGTCACTTCCAGGCTTTGAAAAGATGCTCTCGTCTAGTTCCTCTTAAACTGTTCTCTTAAACTGATGTGTCACATCCGGTCCCCCAGATTAGCCCTGACCTGCAGCTCCGAGGCCTGTTGCGGGAAGGGGTGGTTCTCTCTCCCCCCCACCTCGTCCTCCCCGGGGCAGAGGAGGGGGGCGTCCGCACTGGGGCTGCTTTGCGGTGGCTCCTGGCTGAGGCGGCTGACCTAGGCTCTGACCTCTGCTATGGCAGCGAGCTCTTGGAAGGTCTGTCACCGCGGGGCCCTCACTGTCCAGTTTCCTGCCGGCTGATCTCTGGGGACCCGCACCCCTGTCCTGCCCCTCCAGGTACTGCTGCGGTCCCTCCCCTGCGTCCGCACCCCCGCCGCGGGCCGCCTTCTTGGGTGGGATCTCGTCGGAATGGTTCCGGTGGGGCGACTCTCCATAGCGTCCGCTGGGCTCCTAGGACTCCAGAGGAAACATCCTGGCCCCACTGAGTGGTAGAGGTGAGGCGTGCCCACTGCTGGCCCCTCTCCTGCTCCCCACCGACAGCAGCGAGGAGGGGTTCTCCCAGGGCGCTGGCCCACCCGGCTGCGGGCACCCAGGCAAGCCTGCGAGCGGTTACGTTCAGCCAGGGATCCGCTGGGAGGCGAGCAGCCGGGCTCCAGGTCCTGGGGGCCCCCAATGCCTGTGACGTATCTTCTTGGGCCTTTCATCTGTTGGCTTGTTCGGGGGGGGAAGAAAAGATGACTCCACTCACAGGAGTCATCGGAACCTCCCTTTCAGGTTCTCGTCTCCCCGGGTTGGGCTGGGGCCGGGCTGGGTGTGGGCCGCAGGGCAAGGCCTGCCGTCTTCTCGAAAGTTCAGCCAACCGTGTTTCAGCACCTCCCGTTAGAATGTAGGGCCCTGGGGCGCCCGGGGGACTCTGGATTTCGGCTCAGGTTATGATCTCACGCTTTGTGAGATCGAGCCCCACGTCGGGCTCTGTGCTGACAGTGTGGAGCCTGCTTGGGATTCTCTATCTCTGCCCCTCCCCTGCTTGTACTCTCTCTCTCAAAATAAAAATAAACATTTTTTTTTTTTAAAGAAGAACGTAGGGTCTTAAACACCCAGTGCCTTTGGCTTTGGGGCTCGGGGCTGAAATTTAAAGTCAGTCCACATATATAATTTAATTAAGCAAACGGGATTATTCTAGACATATTGATCTACCCTTTGCTTTTCCCGCTAGGCAAAACATTATATCCTGGGCACATTTCTTTGTCATCACATACAGATCTACTTTTTTTTTTAATTTATTTTTTAAGTTTATTTACTCTTGAGAGAGAGAGAAACAGAGCACAAGCAGGGGAGGGGGAGAGAGAGGCAGAGACACAGAATCCAAAGCAGGCTCCAGGCTCCGAGCTGTCAGCACAGAGCCCAACGCGGGGCTCGAACCCACAACGCGTGAGATCATGACCTGAGCCGAAGCCGGACGCTTAACCGACTGAGCCACCCGGGTGCCCCGTACTTTTTATTTTTTAGTGCATTTTATGTCTCCTCACACTTTTCTCTTTTTCTTCTCCTGTGTGTGTGACCGTTTCATAAACCAGTATTTTTAAAACTGCCCAGTTTAGCAAACAAGTTGTTTCTGCTTCTTCCTTTTTAAGATTTTGCATTTCCTTATTGCTTTCTTTTTGTGGTTAAGTGTCCCAAGAAAGGTCGGGGAACCCGAGTGTGCCTGTCTGTGCTCCGCGGCTGCGGCCGCCCGTGGGGAGGTGCCTCGGGTCCCCCTGTGACGAGGGGTCCTGAGGCTGCAGCCGCTGGAGGCTGTCAGCTAATTGCGCCCTTCGGAGGGGGCATCTCTTGCCGGGAGAACAGGCAGTGCCCCTCCATGGGCGTCACCGGGCTCCCCCGACAGCCTCCAGCAGCGCAGGAAGCTGGAGTCCTGCGTCCTCCTGCACACAGGATGCACAAGGCAGCTCAGGCGTGCAGCTCCGTGCGAGCCTCCGTTCACAGGAGACCCTGGCAGCCCCTCCGCCACCCCCCCCCCCCCCGCAAGCAGACCACTGTCTCCAGAGACAAGGACAATGTGGGGCCTTTCAACAAGGACCTCGCGCTGGGAGGACCAGGAAGAGACTGCCGATGGCCAAGGGGGACCTCAGCTGCAGGAGACACGGGGTGAAGGTGATCGTTGTTCAGTACCCTCAGGTCTCACCGGGCTTGGCCTTGAACTCGGTCCATATGTATGCAGCCACGGGAGGAGGAGCGTCCGGAGGGCTGGTGCCGGCCGAGCCCTTCTCACCGCCGTCCCTGCGACCCAGAGGGGCCCGCACGGCAAGAGCTTGTCCTTGTCAGCAGGGGACACTGTCTCCTACAGACCTGGCTCTCCGGGAAGAGTCAGGGGCCTGGCCCAAGCGGGAAGAGCCCCCCCCCCACCCCGGGCCCTCCTCTCAGCCAGGGGGATGGGGCGCCTTTTTCGGGCCGTGAGGACGCCCACCTGTGTGGTGCAGCTGGCCGGGGGCCTGGGCTCGAGGCTGCTGGAGCGGCGCTTGCGGGGTAGGGTGCGTGGGGGGCCGCCCCTGAGTCAGCACCCTCTAGGCTGGCGGTCCCCAGGGGGCGGATGGAGAGGCAGCGTCGTGCGGGAAGCAGACAGTGGGATGCGCAGGGCGCTGCCTGGGCCGGAGACCCGCGATGCCCCTTCCTGTGTGATCCTGTGGCAGCTTACTTAGTCTCTCTGGGCCACGCTGGCTTCTCTAAGCAGGAGACAAGAGGAAAAGCGAGTGGGGGCTGTTCTGAGGGGGAAACGGGTCTCAGGGAAAAGTGCCGGGAACGCGCCCGACACCCATCAAGCTCTTGCTAGAGGCTGCCCGTTATTCCTGTTCCCGTGGAGCTCACGCTCCGGTGAGCCTGGCAATGAATATTTATGCGGCACTCGGCCGTGTTCCGGGGGGCCCCGCCAGGGGCTGGGGAGGGTGTGGCGAAGGCCGGTGTCCACACTCCGGTGCGGAGCCCGCAACCTGGATGGGGAAGACGTCCACGACTAGACAGCCGGCAGCGTTCCAAATGCTGGGCGGAAACACGGGTTCTTGCAGAGGCTGGTGCGGGTCCCGGCCCCACCGAGCAGGTGAAGCGATGTGGACTCCTCAGAGGGGTCTGCTGTCCCCGGGGCGCCTCCCACGCCGGCTGGCTCAGTTGCTCTGGGCGAGAACGGGGTGCCGGGCTCTGGGCCGTCCTCAGCGATGAGAGGGCACCAGAGCGCCCACCGTTCGCTGGCCCGTCCCCAAGCCGCACGGAAGATGCAGTCAGACGCCCGAGCCCCCCCGGAAAACCAGTGTTTCTCCCACTCGCTCTGTGCTGGGGCCGTGCTCCCGTGCTGAGCTGTGGGCGAAGGGACGCTGAGCGGTCAGGGTGCGCGGACCCCGCGGTGGGGGTCGGCCCAGGCCTGGGACAGTGTCTCTTCGGTGGCCCCAGCCTCCTCGGACTCTCGTCCGCACACCCGCCGTGGGTGTGCCGTGGGACGACCAGAGCTGCTCAGCCCCTCGCCCAGCTCCAGCGGCTTCCCGTCACCCACAGAGTGACAACTCGTACTGGATCACACAGTGTCCCTTGCAGTCAGGTCCCCACTTTCCTCCCGGACCCCCTCTCGGCCCGCACGCTGCCTGGCAATCGGTGGGCCCAGGCTGCCGTGCAGAGCGCCATGGCGGGGGCTCACGCGACCTGTCCCCACACTTCTGGAGGCCGGATGTGCGAGATCGAGGTGCCTGCAGGCTGGTTTCCGGTGGGGTCTCTCTTCCTGCCCTGTGGGTGGCCAGCGCCTCTCCTGCCCTCATGAGGCCACTCCTCTGTGCGAGCACCCTCCAGGGTCTTGGAAGGACTCCAGGCCCATCGCTCAGGACCCACCCTTCTGACCTCCCTTGAGCTCCATCACCTCCTTAAAGATCCGGCCTCCAAATACGCCACATGCATGATGTAAAAGCATGTGACTTTGGGGACACAGTGCCATCCACAGCACTCTCTAAGCACCTGTGACGTTTCCTATTTCTGTGGCTTCCTCTCCTGCCAGGCCCAGGTGGCACTATCCTGGCCCCGATGCCCCATCTACGGAACTTTCCCTTATTCTGCCCAGTCAGACATCTTTTAAAGTTTATTTGTGTATTTTGAGAGACAGAGGCAGAGCCCAAGCGGGGGAGGAACAGAGAGGAGAGAGAATCCCAAGCAGGCTCCACACTGTCGGCACAGAGCCCGACGCGGGGCTCGAACCCACGAACCGCAAGACCACAATCTGAGCCAAAATCAACCGTTGGACGTCTAACCGACCGAGCCACCCAGACGCCCCAATTCTGCCCGGTTCAAATGTGCCTTGTGAGGAGTGGTGACCATGGGGGGGACCACAGCGTGGGCCCTCACCCCCCGTCCCAGACTCTGAGCGAGCAGGTTATGTATTTCTTACTTTATAATGTGGGCTGTTCTGTATGAATGTAATCGTGCCGGTCTGGTTGCCCATCACGGGCAGGCACGGGGGGAGCCCCTGGGAGGGCTCTTCCTGGCGCTTTTACAAGCTTCACGACAATCTGCCACCTGCAACAATAGATTGCACTTCCGTCAGGACACGGGGTTTAAGGGGACTCTTCCGTGCACGTGTGTCCCATCAGACTCTGAAGATCTTGTCCGACCGTGTCTGTCCCTCTGACCCTACGCCAGGCACACAGCGTCATAGACGTTCCTTAACAACAGCTCCAAAGGATGGGCCGCCGATGGGTCGGTTCTGCACTTTCCAGAAGGTTAGCACTGTGAGTAGCGGGTTCCCTCTGAGTGAGTGCTGCCTGCAGAGTTAGGAGGGACGAGAGTCTGTGACGCCCGCCTCGTCCTTCTGCGTGGGGCGGAGGCAGGTGCGTTCAGGGCAGCTCCGGTTCCCGAAGGCAGCAGCCCCGGTGGATACGGTCACCCAGAAAGAAGACGCTGTGTGCGGGCCAAGCACAGAGGCCGCGCGAGAGACCAGCCTGCCCGCACCTGGATCTCAGGACCTCCAGGACCTGGAGAGGAGACAGATTTCTGTCGCAGAGCCCTGCTGGTGGTGGGGCTTTGTGGGGCAATCCTGGCAAACTAGGGTGAGACCAAATACGGTTTACCCGGCACTCTCTCCCCTGGAGCCGAAGAAGGGCTCAATGTCAGCCACACGCGGGTTGATCCCAGTGAATGAGGCCACGGCCCCTTCTCAGAGTCAGGAGTCACTGTGGGGACCTGTAAGATCTCACTGGGGGTAGTTTCAGTTTGTCTGAACATTAGAATCACCAGGGGAATAGTGTGGATTTAAAAATCTTGAGGGGCGCCTGGGTGGCTCAGTCGGTTAAGCGTCCGGCTTTGGCTCAGGTCATGATCTCGCGGTCCATGAGTTCAAGCCCCGCGTCAGGCTCTGTGTTGACAGCTCGGAGCCTGGAGCCTGCTTCGGATCCTTTGTCTCCACCTCTCTCTCTGCCCCTCCCCTGCTCATGCTCTGTCTCTCTCTCTCTCAATAATGAATGAACATTAAAAAAAAAAAAATCTTGATTTCCAGGCATTGCCCCAGACTCTTAGAGAATTGGGAGGTAGGGCCCTGGGTATCCGTACTTTTTAGGGTTCCTCACAGGGTGCAGCCAGGATTGAGAACCAGCAGTCCCAGGAGTGATGAATCCACCAGAGGCCGGGAGGAACAGACCACATGTCTAGACGCCCCGGGCAGTGAGGGTGCCGCCACGGCGGGACGTCCGGGAGGCATGGGAGCCCCCGGGATGCCGACTCTGGGGCTCGGCTTGAGCCCTGCATTCGGAAAGCCCATGGCTGGGGCGGGACTCATGTGTGATCCAGGACTTGGCCTCCTTTTGTCCCCAGGCTGCAGTGAAGCCCTGAGACACCATCAGGAGGAAGGGGAGACAGGCGTGGGTTGCGTAACAAGGATACCGTGTCATCTTTACCCCAGTGGCTTCTAGGAGAGTCAGGAGTCCCTGGAAGAGAAGGAGAACCCAGAGGCCCAGTAGCAGCAGCTGCTTCTTCACAGTCTCGCCCAACCACCCCCCCCCCACCGCCCCCCAACAGAGCAGGAGCTAACACGCCCACGCCACCGAAGAGGGAGCGGAAGGTCCCTGCAAGATGAGGTCACTGTCCTGAAGGCACGTAGCGGTTGGAGCGGATTTTCACCCCAAGTCGGCCTAGCTAACAGACCCCACGATGTCACCGTCACATCCCCGGTCCGAGGGCAGTAGGCTAGGACGGGAGCGTGGGAGGTTGTGTTGTGTCACTCGGCTGAGCAGGAGCCCCGTTCCCCCAACTCCTTGTCCTACACGCTTGCAGCCAAGCCAAGCAGCCAGCCCAGGAGGTGTGTGGGCAGGCCTTGGGAGGCGGAGGAGGAGAAGCAGCCGCGTCCCCTTGCTGCGAGGGCTGCGGCAGCCCCGAGGCCCCGTTCTGGTTCTCTCTCCGCTGGCCCCCGGGATCTCCTCCCCCAGCTGCCCTGACTCCTGGGCCGGGTCCACCGGCAGCTCCGGGACGCAGGGCACCCACATCACGGAAGGGGCCGGCCGGAGGCACCGGGAGGCCGATGCAGGTGCCGGCTCATTCTCGTGGGCTCCGCTCACTCTCGCAGGGACCCCTGGACCGCCTGCCCTGTGGACCTCCGCGGCCGCACTGGACTAGGATGGGTGACCAGCCAATCTCTCACTGCCGCGGTCGCACAATGCCAAATCCCTACAATAAAAGTGCTCATCGTATACGTTGCCTGCTGGTTCTGTGTCTTGAGACCCAGTGACACAGGAGGCACAGCCACCAAAGTTTTTTGAGAATCGCTATGGGAGAGATCCTGTCTGGAGCGTCCCGTGCCCAGGTAACCCGGCACAGGGACCTCCACGTGCCCTGGAATGAGCCGGAGCTCTGAGCTACGAGGGTGGAAATTATGTGTCCGTGGCCTGTAGCTCGTGGCTCAGGATCAGACAGCCGGTGACAAAGAGAGTCACCGCTGTTGATTCACGACCTCTTTGGGAGCTTGTGGAGCGTCATCTGAAACGGGCTCCATGCGCTGAGGGCGGGGGGGTGGGGGATCCAGGAAAGAGGCAGCCACTCCAGGTTGGTAGGGGGCAGGTTTAATAAGCAAAGAAAACTTACCTACGAGGGCATCTGGAAGACGAGGCGATCCCTGCACCTGCCCCACAGAATCTTAGAAGTTTATACAGAGGCCTTGATGGGGTTCAGTCCCATATACTGGCAGATGCTCCCAGTGCACGTCACCATGTCAAGACTGTGGCCTAGGGCAGTCCCTGGGAGCAGGGAAGGCAAGCAGAACCCACATTCCCAGGACAGAGGAGGTGAGGAGCCTCGACTGCCTGGGTCCAGCTCACGGGTCAACCAACATCACATCTGTTTGATGACATTGCCCAACACTACCCCTCATGACCAGCGTTTATCATCTCACGCCACCCCTCCTTCTGCAAGGGGGCCCTGAGCCGTCAGCAAGGGGTTTCACCAGCCTGGAGGTGTCCCCTCTGGCTCCGTGGCAGGCAGATGCCTCAGTGAGAATACAGACACCTGGAAGAGAAAACACTGATGGAGACAGTCAGTGACAACTTTTTCCACCAAGAGCCCCATGATCTGAACCACTGATTTCTCGAGTCCCCCAGCCTGGGGGTCAGGTCACTGAGGGTGTTCATTTGCATCCTCGTGTGATTCAGGGAAGAGGCGAAGTTAGCACACTCACCAGGTATAAACACAACACTCTGCTTGGATAATGGCACAGGCGCCTCCTTGTGACACAGTAATAGTGTCCGTCCTTCTCTGGAGGACAGCCTTTCTCATTAGAGTCCTTTCTGTGGCCAGTAAGGACAGCCTTTGCTGCTTAGCATTTAAGATTTGCTGGGTGAATTTAGGAAGGGCTCCTAAGTGTGCAATAATGTCCTCCAGGCCAATGGAGGGAACGAAGATGGTGGGCAAATGATCGTATCAGTGGTAAACAGAACACTGCTCCGACATCGGCCTCGAGGAGAGGGAGGCTGGCGGTGTTAGGAACTTGCCCTGCTTGTATATACCAGGCCTGTCGCCTGGTTGAGGTGGGCAGCACTGTCAGGCACGGACTGGGGGCGGGATGTGCCAGGACCCCCACCCTGTCCTGTCTTCCAATGGTGCATGTTCCATTCTAGGTAGGGGGCATTTCAACTGGCCCAGCTCCTAGCAGGACGATGGAACCCCAGGGAGACTGAGTGGTTCCCCCTCACCCTGGGGGTGGGAAGTGACGCTCCCCTCCCAGCAGGAGGGCCGATTGCAAATTCCAGCAGATGACTCCTTTCCCGGGTGTGGGGGGGGGCTTGCTGTTCTCGGCAGCATAGCTCATTGATTCTCAGAGTTGGGGCAATGGCTGTTTCCTGCAACTTCCATACCTTTACGGTGTTGGGTGCCTCAGCAAGGGTCCCGTACTTGAGTCCATCCAACCAAGGTGGCTTTACTTGTTGGCGATTTAATCTGCCACTTTACATTCCATTCTTCCTTTCCATTAACCCTGCTGCTTGCGGATTATAGGGGAGACGGAGCCTCCATTCAATGTCGCGTTCCTTTGCCCGGTCTTGCACATCATGACCTTTAAATGTGCTCCCCCATCACTGTCTATTTGAGAGAGGCCTCCACGCGTGGTACTCAGCTGCTCTAATCCCCCGATGGCCTGGTTTGCAGGGAGATGAGAAAGTTCGGGTGAAGCCCGGTGCGCTGTCCTCACAAAGCAAGGCATACCTGGAACACTCATTCCGAGCGAGGGGCCGGTATGATCAATCTGCCCATCCTTGGCAGGTTGGGAGCTCTGGTGGATGGCCCCAGACTCCTCTGGCAGTTGCCTTAGGTGTCGTCCAGAACGCACACAACATGCTGTTACTGCACTTACCAGGTCATCGCGTCTCGAGGGCAGTCAACATCCTTGGCAATATGCCACCCCACCTGGGTCCCGCGGTGGCTGCTCTTTCTACGCATCCGGTATGCCGTATGTACTAAAAGGTCAGTTGCGAGGGCTCGTTCCCAAGCCAGGGCATCACCTCCCTGATTGCCAGGGGTGTCAGAGCCTTACGAACCGGGACATGGAAGACAGGGAGGTCCACCTCAGGCTCTTGGAGGCAAACTCAAATTTCTTCTCGTGTCCTGATCCCCTAAGGGTCCACTCATGATTAAGCACCCCGTGGCTTCTCATTGTCCAAGCCACAGGGTTCATCCCTTGAGGACAGTCCAACTGTCTGGGCAGAGGGCTAATGGCCAGCGATCACCAGCCAGACCGCTCCGAGCTCAGCACCCCCGGATGTTATGTTCCTGTTTTTATCCAGACGGTGTCAGTGTTGGGCTGAATAGTGACCACAGTCCTTGTGGACGGATTGTCTCAACTAGATCATCTGGGTACCAGGCATCAGCGGGCATTTCCCCACTCCCTCCATACAGGCTACAGGGGCCAGCACAGGGATAGGGCAGGGGCACCCGGAAGACCTCCGTTCTCCACAGGACTCAGTGGCACCACATTCCTGGAGACAGTGGACTGGTGGGAGGGTTCTCCTCTGCCCCAAACAGGCATGTTGCCCAGTCACGGCGGGCGTCTGAGCCATGGCAGAGTGGGTCGCTGGGACGTATTCTCACCCCACCCTTGACCGGTAGGAAATTCTCTCCATCGTGTGCTGTTCCCTAGAGAGAAGCTCGACTGGGAGGAGGACTGTGCCCACTGCTTGGAGATGTTGCTCTCTGGGACATATCGGGCTTCTGCCCCTTCCAGAGCAGGGACGAAAGTCCAGGGGCACCGTCCCCTTCTGCTGTCTCTACCTCGATGCCCAACCCGTACTTTTCACGGACACTTGTAACTCCAATGGCAGCCCTGTCTGGGAGGTGCAGGGAAGGAAGGGGCAGAGGGGCAGGGCTGAGGTGGAAGGCTTCCCACAGGCTGAGCAACACAGCGTTAGGCTGTGCATCTGTCTGTCTAGGTGGGGGGGGGGGGCCCTGCAGCAATGAGGTTGAACCACATTTGCTTCCGCATGATTTTTATGGGACACTGCATAGCCGATGGGGAAGGTGTCTTGGCTTTCTGAGCTCCCTCTCTGTGTCTCATGTCTTCCCACAGCCCACCACCCGTTCCTGGGATTTGTCGGACTTCCCAGATCAGCGATGGTTGCCCAACGTGATAAGTCACCTGTCCCAGGACTGGGCTCGGCATGGGTGTCAGGGTCCCACACCGGGAGCTGGGCTGGGCTGGAGGATCTTGGCTTTCATTCCTGCAGTGAATGCGCCCTCATTGGGGCCTTGAAAGACAGGCTATAGATGTCCTGTCCCACTCCCGATTCCCTAAGAATTTGTTGTATTTCCTCTGCAGATTTCCAGGGAAGTGCTGCTCCCTGGACAAGCCCCCCACAGGACAGAGTTATCCAATCTGCGAGCGAGTGAGTACCTTGACCTCCCCCCCCCCCCCCCCGAGCACCAGACAGGCACTGCCGGAGGCCAGGTGGGAGTAATGTTGCTGATTTTCTCTACCTCCTGCTCGGTCTCAGAAGAGCCATCACTCCCCCCCCCACCCCCCCC